ATCCATTTGACTACGGTCGGGTGGCCTGACATGCCTTCAGATTAGTTTAGTAGGGATTAAGGTGGCATGAAGTTTGTAACAGTATGCTTTTGAATGTACAAACATGCTTGGAAATTCATTTATCTTTGGAAGGAAAGGGAGATTAGTTCACTCTCCAGCTGTATTTACAAGTAGACGCTCGCCACTGCTGAACAGTGTGGAGCTGGAGAAAATAACTATGCTTGCCTTTCCTTAAGCCCACAAGCCTTTTGATTTCTGCCCAAATAAAGCAGGGCTTTGGCACTTGGTTCTCTTAGCTGGCAAGATATCTGCAGCATGTCTGCAGAATTTAGAATGGCCAGGAGGGGCAGGTCAAAGACAGCCAAATGATGATATCACACCCATAAAACCTCATCAGTGGTGACATATAGAAAACACTCAGTGAATTGCTTTCATTAATTCACCCTTATGAAGAAATTCTTAGCAATGTCTTCATTCCTTGGCAGATTTCAGATTCTTGCCTTTTTGCCTTGCTTCCTTCATTGCTTTTCCTTAAAACAAACAGGCTATCCAGCACCGATTGACAGCAAGTGTGGAAGCATGGCTTAGGCTAGCTTAGCATGCTTAGACTGCGTTAAGGGGGATATTTCATAAAAGTTCTATTCGCCTCTAAAAGAACAGAAGTCTTTTCTGTGGTTTAGACAGTAGATGCTCCTGCAATGAAATGCAAGGAAATATGGGTATCCGGGATAAGAATAGGTACAACAAGGCTCCTGCAAGCCAGACCTTGATGTGGCTCTGGGTTTCACAGATCAGACTGTTCTGGGGGACATGGAAGGAAGTGATGTTAAGGCTTCCTGGGCAGGCGTGAATTCTGGGAAAGTGTGGCATATAGAACTGCATGCTGACCCAATGTTCCTTTGGGACACACGTTTTCTTAGCTGAAAATCTGGCAGGGCTACAAAAACACAATAGGAAGAACTGAGGGAAGTGAGAAAAACGGATGGCAAACATTTCCAGGTCATCATCTGATGCTTTCTGTTCTTTAGAATGTCACCCTTGGCGGGGGGGGGGGGGGGTGGCAGATATTTGCAAAATTTATCAGTTGTGCAATCTAGCTGTCTAGATCAGGGCCATGAAATCTTGAGCTGAAGCCCTTACAAAAGAAAGTTGAATTTTAGGCCTTTCCAGTATATGTGGCAGAGAACATTTTTTTTTTAAGATTTTTTGTTTTTATTGCAAAGTCAGATATACAGAGAGGAGGAAAGAAAGATCTTCCATCCGATGATTCACTCCCCAAGTGACCACAATGGCTGGTGCTGTGCTGATCCAAAGCCAGGACCCAGGAGCTCTTCTCGGTCTCCCACACAAGTGCAGGGTCGCAAGGCTTTGGGCCATCCTCGACTGCTTTCCCAGGCCACAAGCAGGGAGCTGGATGGAAAGCGGGGCCTCCAGGATTAGAACCGGCGCCCATATGGGATCCTGACAGGTTTAAGGCAAGGACTTTAGCTGTTAGGCCATGGTGCTAGGCCCATGACAAAGCTGAGAGCAAGGAAAACATAAATGAAAAAAAAATTACTGAAAAGATTTTTGGGATATTTAAGAATGAACAGCAGCAAAAAAAAAATTTTGAAGGTGAAAAAGAAGATCAGAGATTTTGAATTGTTTCACAGGTACATTAGTTTTTAAAGATTGCTTTTCTTTTTATTCGAAAGGCAGAGCTACAGAGAACAGAGGAGAGGGAGACAGAAAGGGAGAATCTTCCATCTGCTGGTTTAATTTGCAAGCGACTGTAAGAGTCCAGAGTTGAGCCAGGCTGAAGCTAGAAGCCAGGAGCTTCTTCTGAGTCTCTCATGTTGATGCAGTGGTTCAAATACTTTGGCTGTTTTCTGCTGGTTTCTCAGGCTGCTGGAAGGGAGCTGGGTCAGAACTGGAGCAGCTGGGACATAAATCAGCACCCACATAGGATGCTGGTGTTACAAGTTTAATGTGCTACGCCACAAAACAGGTCCTCACTGGCAAATTTTTAAAGCAGCCAAGGCATCATTTTGATAGTCCACACAAATCTTTGCTCTTTTGTAAGCTTGTAGTCCTACAGTGACTTTTCTCAGCTTGGGACAGTTTGAAAAATTAGAATTCTCTGGTATTTTGTGGGACTTACTGAATTCAGGGAGGTGAGGGAAAACCCCAAAATGCATGTCGAAGGAGGAAACTGTGAAGATAGCAGCCGTTTCTATTTCCTCAATATCAGGATTGTATTGTTTGAGTGAAAATATTGCCTCCAATTAAGATATCTTGATGATCTCATGCAGATTTAGTGTGAATAAATGAACTGAGAACTACGCTGGTTTGCTAAGGATCTTAGCGTCTTGACTGGCTTTTAACCAGATGAACATTTAGACCTATTTATGATCATTCTCTCTAGGAAAAGAGCCATAGTATCCAATCAGAGGGGACTGTGGGACTTGAAACAAAACAAGGTGAACAACTGCAAATAATCATAATTATTTCAATGAGAGCCCTTGACAAAGAATCTGGAACACCTAAGCTGGGTTATAGAGAAAGAAACTGCTTGACTGTATTCCCTTTCAGCTTTGCTTTTCTGTGGTTCTGGGCATTCTTCCTAAGAAATACCATTCCAGTCTCAAGGTCATAGCATGGTAATGAAAGAGTGACTTTGGTACAGTTGGGTGCCGGGGAGACCTTCCTTTCTGTGTCAAGAATTCACTGAGTCTCCTGTTGTGCATGCCTTGTTATGTTGAAAACTAAAGCGCCTAGTTTACCACTGGATGAAAACGTTAATGATGAAATGATGATGCTCCTTCGTGGTTTTCCTTCTAAGGAAGAATGACCAATCAACTTCCTGGTGCTAATTCCTGTTAGTCCTTCCTTCTGGCCGGGGAGCTACAAATCAAGTTTGGTTGCAGAGATCTGATTTTACTCAGGGAGTAGGTTGAAATTTTTTGCTCATTTAGTTTCTTAAGCATACTGATGAAAACCTTCACAAACTGGTGTGAAATAATGCAACAGTATTTTTGGGTTTTGTGCTTACATTTTCTTCCTGGTGGCAGGGAAATGTAAAGGGAGAAATGAGGTTGAAGGCCTTCAGATCTTTTTCATTAATCTTATATTCTAGTCAAGAATGTAAGCAGATGCAAATAAAGTGGAAGGGCATGGAAATCAGTTACAGGTGAGAAGCAAGCCGTTGCCTTCCTGAAGCCTCTGTGCTGATAGTTTAGAGCATCGTTGAAGTGTAAGGGCCTAAAGAGACTGGAGACCTGAGCCAGTGCACCAGAGCAGCTCTCTGCTCTCCAGAGCAGCAGTGAATGGTCTTGCTCTTATTGATGTAAATTTGTAAAACTACAACCCCAGAAGGTCTCACCTTGAGCGACCAGGGCAAAGCTCTGTGTGTTGACTGAACAGGAGATTTGGGAAAAGAACATTTTCTTAGCATTCTTGACGCAGAATTGTACAAATTAAAACTGCAAATGTGCGCTGTGTGCACTTGAGTGAATGTACACAAATATAGAGATAGGATCTTCATGTTCTGCCTTTCTGGATGTGAATCACTACACTGCCTTTTGGCTCCTCTACATTTTGTAAAGACTTCAACTCCATGAGCAACAGAAGCAATGTGAACCATGACCTTGGTCCTGTCTGTGTTGTTACTTATTATTAAAAGACGTATTTATTTATTTGAAAGTCAGAGTTGGAGAGAGGGAGGAAGAGAGATGTTCCATCCTTTGATTCACTCTCCAAATGATTACAACAGCTAAAACTGGGCCAATCAAGAGCCATGAGCTTTGCCTTGGTTTTCCATGTGGGTGCTGGGGCCCAAGCTCTTGGGCCATCTTCTGCCACTGTCCTAGGTGCATTAGCGGGCAGCCAAATCAGAAGTGGAGCATCCAGGTCTCAAATAGGCACCTGTATTGAGTGGTAGTGGCACAGGTACCAGCTTCATTCCTATGCCCCAGCATCGGTCCCCTCTCTGTGTTTATACACAGGCCCTCCCTCGTGGCATTCTGCCTCTTGGCTCCAGGTGAATGGCTATCAGAGGTCTTTATGTGCTACTCCCAGCCCTGTATTTGGTGTAAGTTGCAATTCTGGGTGGGAGATGAGATGCTGTGTATGGAAACGGCACAGCCTATCGCTTTGTTCTTTTACACATTTGGCTTTTAAGTTTTTAAGGTTTTTTTTCCTCCTTTTTTTCTCAGTTTGGATTCAGAGGATGAGAGAGGGAGTTTGTTGGCTGAGTTAGTAATTTATTGTTTTAAGTCCAAAGACTCCCAGATGGAGACACTGGTACTTGTAGGAGTGCTCATTAAAGGCCTAATCAAACAGGCTTCGTTGACTTATAGGCTGCTATGTTGTTGCTGGATGTTGGTTTTTACCACCCTCCTCCAGATATTTCATTATTTCCTTGGCAACTCTAGTATTGTGTTGAAGATCATCTGAGACTCAGGCAGAATGATAGGTGATGTGAGGAAATTGGAACCAAATGCATTTACTGTACTGGCACACGGACCACACATTTTAAAACTGGCAGACTTATCTTAATGCACTATCTTTCTAGGTCACAGCCTATTGCCTTAACCCCTAGAAGACTATTATCACTTCCTTTCAAAGCAAAAACGTTAAAGAAACATGAAGGAACTTCTAAGAACCCTATTCACTCAAATCAGTTGATCTCACTGATGGCTTGTAATAAGACTAATCGTATGAGAGGTAAATTATTGAAAACTTTAGAATACAAAACATGCAAAGGAGAAAACATACCTTCTGTTTGAAGTTCTATAGGACAAAATTAATAAAATGCCATAATTCAGTTACCTTTAGCTGATGTCCAATTTTCCTGGCTTTGAAAATGTGAATATCCCCCATTCTTTTAAAAATACAGGGAGTCATCAAAAAGTACATTAAAAATGTCTGCATCAAATGGATTCATAGTTTAATTGTATTTTTCTCAAAGATTTTCTCAGTGTTTTTGTATACCACAGAGTTGGATTTAAAAGAGGGTGCATGTGCTTGCTTCAGCAGCACATAAACTAAAATTGGAATGATGCAAAGAAGATTAGCATGGCCCCTGTGCAAGGATGACATGCAAATTCATGAAGAATTCCGTATTTTTTTGTGGCTGCTGTTCTAATTCATACCAGTTGTTGACCTTAAAAAGAAAGTAAAAAAAAAAAAAGGGTGCTTTCAGGCAAAATGGACACTGTGGCATAAAAATTCTCAACAGTCCTGTTGGCAGTCTGCACTGTTGAATGTTTAGTACAAAGTGATAAGAAGAAGTTGGATACAGAAAGCATTTCTCTGCAGAGAAACTTTGGGCTGATGATTCCTGATTCACATTTCGAAAGCAACGCCTTATTATAAGACTTTGTACCGTGGAGAGCCTTCCACTTTGGCTTTTAACAAACCAGTCAGCAACACAGGCTTCACTTGTGGAAATGACATGTAAGGACAGAAGTCTAGTTTGAAATGGACAGCAGAAGGAAGAGGTTCACAAAGAATTAAAACTCCACACATACGCTGAATGCCCTGGACTCAGAACCAAAACAACAACAAAAACCAAACCAACCAACAAGCAAACAAACAAAAACCCTGAGATTTCTGCCTCGTTTTCTGAGGTTGCTACAATCCCTGGATCTGCAGAGGTGAGTCACAGAGCAGCTATGAGCTGCCTCCTGGGAAACTCGATTCCTGGGTTGGCGTCATGGGAGTTTGCCCATCCTGTGTGAGACAATTTGTTAGATCCCATTCATGTGTCCAAATGCATGATGAGGGAGCCTTGCAGAAACCACCCATGTTCACACATCTATCATTCAGACACAAAACAAAATACAAAACACCAAATGTCTCTAGAGTTGAGCCAGATCTTTCTTATCTCTGAACAATCAAAACTTACAAAAGCCTCAGAAAATTGAAATGATTTATGAGTGCTCAGAGTTGCTAAACTTTTGACAATTTATTCTTGCTAAAACAAAACTGCCTGCATTATCTTGCGTTGCCATTCAGATTTTGACCCCAGAAAAAGTTTATTTCTGAAAAAATACTTCTTTGAATTTCATTTCCTTTTTTAAATATTAGAGTATGTTTTTTCTCTTGCTCTCTCTCCCTCTTTTAATAGAAAAATTGTTGCAAGATGGAGTGTCTGAGAAACACAGAACTTTCTCAGTGAAGTGTTGGTGGAACCTTGCCTGCTCTGGGCTGAAGCTTACACCCTGTCACCAGGCTGACCAAGTAACCACTCACTGCCTTTTAAACCACCAGGAAAAGTTGTAGGCACTAAAATATGTGATTTTAAGCCTGCCCAAACAAAACAAAACAACAGCAGAAAAATGAAAAAAAAAAAAGAAAAGAGCCAGTAGTGATCCAACGGCACCACCACCTTTTCTTTCTCTGCTGCATGTTTTCCTAAAGCAACGAGCAGGACATGACTGATGCTTTCACCCTTGCAGAAAAGAGGAAGGCAATGTATTATTTTCTAAAGCATTCCTTTATGGGTAAATCTGTGGCTCCTAGTCAAGGCATTTTATTTACTTCCTTGGCTGACATGACTTCTTAAGAATGCTCAGCTGTCAGATTTTCCCCTGAATATCAAGCCTGGGAGGGAGAAAATACATAGCAGGGATGGCAAAAGGCAAGAATCACAATGGCTAATTTTTTTTTAAACTCCCACTAAGACCCGAATGTATGCAATGAAGTAAAAACATGACTGGTCAGTTGTGGTTATTTTGTTCTCATTATTGATTTTTAGCTGAAGAGTGTTTCACTCATTTGAGACTCTTTGAGACCTTTGATTAATGTAAGATTTTCAGGAGCTAGCACAATGGTTTAGCAAGCTAATACTCTGCCTGCAATGGCAGCATACCATATGGGTGCCAGTTTGGATCCTGGCTGCTTCACTTCCTTATCCAGCTACCTGCTTATGGCTTGGAAAAGCAACAGAGAATGATTGAAGTAGTTCGGCCCCTGCACTGTCATGGGTGACCTGGAAGAAGCTCCTGGTTCCTGGCTTTGTATCAGCTCAGCTCTGGCCATATGGTCATTTGGGGTGTAAATCAGTAGATGCAAGATTTCTCTTTCACTCTCTGAGTTTCAAGTTGAAAACATCTTTTTTGAAAAACAGGATATTTGATTACTGTCTGGTTTAGCACCATGTCTACCTTCAATGAGAACATAGAAACAACCTCCAGACTGATCTTAATATCATTGTCAACGAAACCACTCTTTCCTATTTTAGTTCAAATACCTGGGTATCCTCAGGCATCTTTCTCAGTGATTATCTTATGATAAAATAGTGCAAGCATTCTGAACACACCTTGGCAAAGTGATACAAGACTCCTAGAACTCTTACCTGTGAGGTGGGTGTTTGGCCTTCTGGCTAAGATGCCTGGACTCCACAACATTGTACCTGCATACTACTTGGAGTTTAATTTCCTGCTCCAATTCTTGCTTCCAGCTTCCTGCTGATGCAGACTCTGTGAGAGCGGGGTGGAAATCATTGGGCAGTTGTGCTCCTACCATCCATGTGGGAGACCTGGATTGAACCCTTGGTTCCTGGATTCATTCCCAGGATAACCTTAGCTACTCAAAGTATAAGCAATTGGGGGATGAACCAGCAGGTGGAAGTACTCTCTCTTCCCTCTCAATTAGATAAAAATCAAGTAAAGAAACAAGGGGGAGTGGGTAGTGGGGATGACTGTTGAGTTAGTGATGTCTCTTCGGAATGAAACAGATAGGGAAAAGTACCAGATCCAGAGTGAATGCATCAATATTTTATTTTATAAATGTAACCTGAGGATTCCAAGGCCTTTCAGTTATCTGTAGTTTCCATTTATTTTTAACATACATCTTAAATAAGCTAAGCTCCCACCCACATAAGCTGTAGAAATTCCATTGAGTTTTCAAAATATTTCATAGTATGGAGGCGGGGTGGAGATAAGAGTCATTTTCATGATTGTGGTTATAACCTGCTCAAACTCTTGTAACAGGCCTTTCCCAAATCCCTGTGGCATCTCTATTTGTTATGTAAGCCTTGCTGGCTTGCTGTTTCTATTCTTGTTTCCAGCACCCTGATACAACTGATTATGCAGCAGTGATGGGAAGGATCAACAATACAAACCAGAAAATAGCTTTCAGTGGTTGCATCACAACCATGTTGCTAGCATTGTTGATCTTGCACACAGGTTTTTCCTGGTTGGGTCTCTGCAGATGAGAGACTGTCTCCAGACTGTCGTCATGATGACGTTGAAGGGCACTGGCCTGTCCTCCCATTTCCTGGCTTCTCTGAGTTCCTGCAATCTCATCTTCCTGTCTTCCTTCCACCAACATCACTTCCTTTCCCTATGGACCAGACACAATATTTATCAAAATTATTTCGATTCTTAGTTTTGACACCCCACATTATGAACATTATTTTGGACTTAGCTTTACTTTAAATCAAAGGACTTCTAAATATCTTGTTCAAATACAGGTATGACCCTCTGCTACTGTTGTTCTCTTCTGTCCCACCTTCCTAAAAATTCAAGAAGAAAGAACCACCCTTTTCCCCAGTGTCCTGGTAGATTGATAATATGAAGCATGGCCTGGAAAAATATTAGTCGCACTTAAAAGGAATATAATTAAGCAAATTATAGTATATGCATAGAATGAAATAACAACTTATAATTATAAATTATATTCATTAAAAGATTTTGGCTTATGTGTCAAAATTTTAAGTGACATAAATGACATAACATTGAGTAAAGTATATAATTCTGAACACATGAAATACTTTAAAATAAACAGGGAATATGTGAAGAGTTTTTGAGATGATGGTTAAGAATAATTTTATTTTCTACGAATCTCTAGCTCATGAAAGACATATGTCTCATTATTTCAAAGTGAGTTTCAGGGCAGGTATTTGATAGTGGTGAAGACACTGCTTCAGATGTGTAAGCTATTCTACTATGTGTGTGAAAGTCTTGGCCCCATTCCAAATTTCGGCTTCCTGCTGAGATAGATGCTGGAGGGCAGTACATTGTGGCCCCAATATTTGGGTCGTGCCACTCATGTGTGACACCCCAAATGAGTTACAGGGTCCTGGCTTTGACTTGTTTCAGTCACAACTGTTGTAAGCAGTTGGGGAGTGAACAACCACATGGGAGTTGTCTCTTTCTTAGTTTCTCTGCTTTCAAGTAAAATAAATAAAAGTTTAAAAAATATAAACGTGGTCTTTAAAAATCTCTCACCTCTGACCACCCTCTCAACTTATCCTTTATCCTAATGCTATTCATTATCTAGTCACATGGTTGGCTTAGCTCCATCAGCACGAACCCAAAGGTAGGTCATTCTGAAGTAAATGGGAATGTCAAGATGGAATGAACTCCGCGTAACAGCAGTGTAGATCAGTAGAAAGGAGAAGAAGAAAACTCACAATGCTGATTAGGGACAATCACTGTGAAAAGCTTCCAGAAGGAAGGTTAGTGCATTAATTACCAATAGAGTGTCAGGAAACAGATATTTTTGCCAATTGCATCCTTAGCCCTAACTTAGGGAACTTTCCAATTATGACAGCCTTGCCAAATCATCCTATTTGGTTCATATAAATAGAAGCAAAAATTCAACTCTTCCATTCCAACTATGTCAAATTAGGATCCTCAAGTTTCACACAGTTGAGGCCATCTGTTGTGATTACACTTCCTCTTACCTAATATGCAACCATGGAGTGTGTTTCACCAGGATAATGGAGTGTACTCTGTCAAGATCTGCAGATTGGGCCAAGTTTGGGCCTAGCAGTTAAGTTACCAGTTGAAAATCTCCATGCTTCATATCGGAGTGCCCAACTCCACTTGCACTCCAGTTTTCTGCAAATGAATACTCTGGTAGGAAGCAGGTAATGACCCAAGCAGTTGGATCCCTAGCACACCCCTGTGCTAGTTCTGCATCGAGTTTCTGACTTCAGTTTTCAATCTGGCCTAGCCCTGGTATTTGGAGAGTGAACCAACTGAGAAGATTGATCTTTTTATCTATATATATATAGTTCAAATAAATAATAAAAGCATATAGAGACATGTGTACATATCTCTGTACACATTTCCAAAGAAGTCAAGAAAGTTTCTGTAATAAACACATAACTGGATG